ATGTTAACAAGTGACTCGTTTGGCAAAACTTGAGTAAATCTATCTTAAGTTATTTATGGATGTACATTTCTATTTGTATGATACATCCTTGAGAACACAGCAAAAAAAAGGCTATACCAAAGGTTTCCCCTCCCACCCTGGGCAATATTTAAGCATCAAAACGTGGCCTGTAACTGCTTCTCAGTGATAAATATATATATTTTTATTGTATGACAGGAAGATTTTAGAATCTTAAAATTAGTTTGCCTTGGTGCAATATGTAAATGTAACCATTCTTTATCTCCAGCCCTATGCTGGATAACTGTACCACTTAGCTTCTCCAGCAGCCAAGCATTATGGCTAAGTAGTTAAAGCTACTGGGGCAGAAAGGCTTGTGTTCCAGTCACAGCTACTCCGTCTGCCAAACTATATACAAATTATTTGATCTCTTCAAAGCAAATTTTAAAATCATAAGTACAGAATTCAGAAGATTTTGTGGCTTGCCAGGTGCAGTGGCGTGCACCTGTAGTCCTAGCTACTTTGGAGGCTGCAGCAGGAAGACTGCTTGAGTCCAGAAATTTGACTCTAGTCTGCTCAACGTTGCAAGACCTCCATCTCAAAATAAGCAGATTTTGTGATTTAAGTTAAATAAGTAATACATGCAAATTGCTTAAATAATAGCTATTTTCAAGAAGATCGCTTCTGTCCTTCATGGTGTAGTGGTATAACACTAAATTTGTGGTTAAAGGATTTTTCCAAATCAGTTGATTTTTTCTTTTTTGAGACGGGTTCTTGCTGTGTTGCCCAGGCTGGTCTCAAACTCCTCCCTCTCAACCTCCCTAGTGGTTGGGATTACAGGAGCATGCCACCATGCGCAGCACGGATCAGTTCGTTTTAAATGTAGTATTTGGGGAAAGAGTGAAAGGAGTGTGAGAAATCTTAATTAAATTGGTCACTGAAGTTATGCAGTTTCCGTTTTGCATTAAAAAAGCATCTCCACAAATATTTCTTCCCTTTAAAAAAACAAATTCAGAAAGATATATGCAAAAGGTACCTAATACAAAGTGAAAGACTTAGAAGACAGATAGTAGAAAAGTATTCATCTCATTCTACAAATTAACTTGGATAGAATTGAAATTACAGTAATTGTGGCAGTACTGGTAAAGGATTTTACCTTTTCTGAAACAATATGTTTTATTGTAGCATTGAATCAGTAGAGATTGTGGGGATGGGTTGTGTTAAACCACAACCCAATAAAGAACTTGGAAGTAATTAGGGTGTTTAATTTTATTTTTATATTGTTTATTTTCTTGCCACTTCCTTCAGAACTCTGGGATGGATCCCATTTTGCCCTGGAGTTGTTCCCACACTGGCAGTGGGTTTGCCTAGCACACTGTATCACACAGAACAGACAAGGCTCCTAGGATTTGTGTTTCTCTTGCTTTGCTAGATTTTCAGGAATGTTAATGAGGGTGAGAGAACCATAGATTTTATATGGCTATAAGTTCTTTTAGATTAAATACAATATTTTTTTTTAGCGTTTGTCTTCAAACTTTTATGTTACTATTCTTTTATGTTTATTCTTATCAAATATCTTTTTGTAATTTTTTTCTGGTCCTGTTTTATACCTTAATCTTTTTCTGTCTCCGCCCTTTTTTTACTTTCTCCCTAATTCAGCTGTATCCAGTGCTTGACTTCACCATAACATCTTTTGTCACAGTATATGTAAACTGGTAATGAAATACTCAACCTCAGTTCCTCCTTTAACATTTCATTCTTAGATCTCAAAAATCTAAGTGACAAATGAATCTTTATTTTCAGTTTTTTCCCTACTACGTACTTTTCCTTTTTCTGTAGTGAATTTTATCAAGCTAACATTTATACCTATTCCATAGTTTTATATTCCCTCTACCAATCCATCCCATCCCACCTTGGCTTATTTCTTAGTTTATATTGCTCCAAGTAAGGATTCTTGTTTCTGCTTAAAAAGCGTATTTCTATTTAGCCTCATCCAGAAAAGAAATAAAACATTGACTACACTCAGTTGCCTGAGCTAGCTAAAAATAAATATTCCTTTGCATGCAAGGATCCTAACTAAAGTTTAAAGGAAGTCTTTGATATGAACACTGGAGTAAAGTGAAATATGTATCATTGAAAACTTACCTTCTTCACTTAATAGAAGCCTTTTAAAGTTTGGGTTTCTTACATACATATGAGAGAATATACATCTTGTTAAAGAGTTTAGTCAGAATTATCTTTAAAAATTCCATAACTCAGCTGGGTGCGGTGACTCACGCCTGTAATCCCAGCACTTTCAGAGGCTGAGGCGGGCAGATCACCTGAGGTCAGGAGTTTGAAACCAGCCTGACCAACATGCCAAAATCCTGTCTCTACAAAATATACAAAAATTACCCAGGCATGGTGGCAGGCTCCTGTAATCTCAGCTACTTGGGAGGCTGAGGCAGGAGAATCGCTTGAACCCAGAAGATGGAGGTTGCAGTGAGCCAAGATCATGCCACTGCACTCCAGCCAGGGCAACAAAAGCGAGACTCTGTCTCAAAAAAAGAAAAAAAAAATTCCATAACTCAACTTTATTTTACTGACTTTAATTGCTTAAAATTTTTAAGAAAAAAATATGGTTTTGAATGACAATTTTTATTTCTTTTCTATCTTTCCAATTTTTAATGAAAGGAATAAAATAATTTCACTTTTAGCATCAACTGTAACAAAAGCAGGTGTTAAGGAAAACGTACATTTCTTTGAGAGGTTGATATCTAACATATCCTAGAATGTGAAACAAAAACATTTTTCATTATTTTTGCATCAAGAATAAAGCCTGGTTTGGACTAATGAAATATTAACCACTTTTTTTCTCCTTCTTAAATATCACTGCATATTCAACTGTCCCCTGAACATATATTTTTGATATAATACCCATCTATGAGAAGCTTAAATTGACTTACACTAAATCAAAATTCTCCCAATTCACATAAGAAATTTAAGGAAACATTTTACATCTTCCAACTGTTTCAGATGTGTTTATCTTAATGGATTTAGTTGAATGACTTACCCAGCGACATACTGGAAGTGTATATGAAAAGTATGATGTGTAAAACTCTTATTTCAGCATTCATTCCACAAGTTCAGCATTTCCAAACTAGTACTTGGAACAGTTTATGATGTTAAGTATTTTAAGTTTTAGTACCTCAAAATAAATTCATTTTTTGAATGATTTAATGCTTAAAATCTCCTAAAATATAATGTTCAAAATTCCCTTGCTTTCTTATTTGAAGTTATAACTTCGTCTTCCTGCAGTACAGAGCCCACTTGGATTATATTTGAGAATCGAAAGAAAAATACAAGTTATCCTTACTCTCTGAGATGCTCGGCAAACTGATTAATCTTTATTAAGATCATGCACTGAAAAAGTCTGAGTTTCTGGGAAAGTGTTGAAGTTGCCATTGATTATACTAATCCTAAATCCTTTGAAAAATTAATGATTGTTTTCAGAAAGTTGTATCAGACTGCTATAATGGAAAATAGCATTAACATGTTATGCCCCATTCTAAATAAACCCAACTTCAAAATGTCTGTCAGAAAACTGTTTAGCTTTTTTTTTTTTTCCAAGTAACATTTTAAGAGGTCCCTTTCTGAAAATTTTTCTTGGGTACTGGGAACTCAGAATTTTCATTTGAAATATATTAACAGGTTTATTTGGCGTGAATGATAAAAGGTGCAGTGTATTGCCTAGTACAACCACTAATACTTTTTTTGAATAACAATAAAAACAAAAATAATAGTAAGCAGAGCTGTGTTTCTAACCCCAAAGAAGCTGGAGACCTTAGTTTAGATACTTCATAGGAATTCCTTAAGGAGTCCTCCTTCACCTCCTGCCAATACACCCAAGGAATCTTTTCTTGATAAATTCACCCACATTAGTTATCAAATCTAAACATCACAGAATTTAGCATCAGTTATTTACCAAGTGAGACAAAGGTTTGCCATTTTTTTCTTATCTTTTCCTTCAGTCCTCTTCATCCCCATTAGTTTTTAATACTTCTTTAATCTCAGAAGCAATCAGTCCTAGTTTATGTCAAAGTCAGGACTTTGGAATTTAGAGCACTATCTTTACCACTTTCTGTAACTATCTCCAGTTTTAGCCTAAAACTACAGAGCATTACTCTTTTTTTTTTTTTTTTTTTTTTTGAGACAGAGTCTTGCTATGTCGCCCAGACTGGAGTGCAGTGGTACAATCTTGGCTCACTATAAGGAGGTCATTCTATGTAATCACTTATTTTATGGTTTGTTTGACCATATTAAATTGTCAAATACAAGTATTCTTTCTTCTTCTTCTTCTTTTCTGAGACAGTCTCACTCTGTTGCCCAGGCTGGAGTGCAGTGACGCATCTCAGCTCACTGCAAGCTCCACCTCCCAGGTTCATGCCATTCTCCTGCCTCAGCCTCCTGAGTAGCTGGGGCTACAGGCACCTGCCACCACGCCTGGCTAATTTTGTGTATTTTTAGTAGAGACGGGGTTCCACCGTGTTAGCCAGGATAGTCTCAATCTCCTGACCTCGTGATCCACCCACCTCAGTCTCCCAAAGTGCTGGGATTACAGGCATGAGCCACCATGCCAGGCCAAGTATTCTCCTAATATACCTCTTCTCTGATTTTGTTGATACAGACTTAATGATAAAATCTTTGAAAAGTTTGTTTCATATTTGTGGTGTTCTGACTGGCTGGCTAGCTGTAAAATGTTGCCTTTCTTCCTAGTCCACACTAAAATCCATTGAGTGTTCTTACTGCACAAAACACCATAGAAAAACTTTGTCTACCACTTTAAAAAAAAAACTGTGAATGTGAAAATATCTTCTGATGTGACTGCATTATAAAGCTCAGTACAGCAGTTTTAATCCAGAAGAATATATGACCTGAATGTTTGTCAAACACATGATATGCAGCAACAAAATAATCTTTATTTTATTTTGGCCTGATAATATAATGTATAAAATCACAAATTGTTTGTATTGGCAAGATTTTATTTTACTAATTTTGAGATACTATAAAAATAATACTCTCTATATATTTAAAGTATTTATTTAGAAAAAACTGGGAAATAAATTGAAGAAGATATTAATTTTAAGAAAAACAAACTGAAATCAAGTCTTTGTCTTAGAGAACAAATAAGACTGAAGAAATTGAAAGAAATATTTTGAAAAGCAAGAGTGAGGTACTTAAGTGATAAGACACAATGAAGTAAAGTCTTCCATTTATAATAGCTACAATGACCTAAATTAAATAAAATCTAAATGTCACTAAAGATAGATATCCACTGGTTTGGATTTGAAATTTAAGAACTATACAATTTTGGATGAATTATAACTTATGATTCGGTATTAGGATTCTTCAGATCTCTGGACTTGTCAGTTTATAAGCTTTAGAAAGTACACAACACTTTCTAGGTATGGTGTAAAATTTTTTAAATATTTAAGCCATAGAATACATTATTACAACATGTTCTTTAATGTTGATTTTTAAATGTCAGAATAGATGTAATACCAGTGTAAGCCACAGGGTGGGAGTGAAAGGCAAGAACTTGTGTTGAAGCAGCTTAAATACATAATTGCACCATTTTATAAACCTTTTAAATGCTTGTTGAATTATAAGGAGCTGTAGCTTGGTTTTCTTTCTTCCTTTAATACAGCTGCATTCTTCAGCAAAGAATCTATAACACAAGACAAACACATTAATTTAAATATATAGGCCATTTTTACTGAATATCAAAAGAAGTAAACACATACATTTTATTTCCCCCTAAGTTTCTGGGCATATGAAGTGCTTGGTGAACAGAGCAGCAATTTTGATCAATAGTTGAATTTGAGAAATTTCTTAAATTACCAGTACTGGAAATAGTAATTGAAGTTGCCAGAAATATTTCATCTCTTCAGACTTTCCTTCTTCATTTTCCTTTTTCATTGATTTTTCTCATTTAAAGAAAAAAATCAATTGTATATTACATATAGGTCTATAAGCTGTCTCAAGTTATTTTTCAATAGGGAAGGTAAATACATTTTCCTTTGTGTTTTCTTTTTACTCGATCTCATTTGAATTTGGAAGCAATTTAAAGTAGTAATAGTAATCATTTTGTATCTTTAAGGTAAGAAGACAAGAGGTTTCTTCTCCTAGAAAAGAAACTTCAGCAAGGAGTCTTGGGAGTCCTTTGCTCCATGAAAGGTAGTTCTACATCCTTTTTTTTGCCAACTCTTAAAAATTTTCAATACTGAAATATATTTTATATATATATTTTTAAGCTTTAACAATTGCAAAAAAATAGCCTTTTAGAATAAGTGGAAGTAACTATCCCCAGAGTCGTACATGTTAAAAATGACCTAAACAAGTCATGCAGTTAATAGCAGAGCTGGATCTAAAACTTGAATTCTCTAAAGCTCTACTATTTCAATAAACCAAGTGTTAAGGCCATATTTCTTTATATGGATGGATCCTAATGTGAACTTTACCAAAATGAGGAATATTTAATATTCTATTTAAGATGTTTGCAGAGAACAAAAGTCAATGCATTGAAATTTCTAATGTGAGAATAAGACAGCCAGCATTAGTGTATATATGAATAAGTAGATATGCTAGACTATACTATATTTATGTATTAAAACTTTTAATTTATCACTTACTTTGTGCCTGGCCCTCTACAAACACAAGCTGGTTTTTGGGATATTGTCTAGGAATTAAAAATTTTTTTTTAACTTTTAATATTTTGTGGCACATAAAATGGTACTACATAAGTTTGATTATTTAAAAAACTTGGAAATTATAGCTTTACATTTTAAAATGTTGATTTTTATTTTTTAGGGGTAGTATAGAGAAGACTTTCTGGGATCTGAAAGAAGAATTTCATAGAATATGCATGCTAGCAAAAGCACAGAAAGACCACTTAAGCAAACTTAATATACCAGACACTGCAACTGGTAAGATTTAATTTAATTTACAGTAATATTGATTTGATTGATTGAAATTGATTTCTTTTTGAATGTGAAAATATTCCTGAATGCCTATTAATTGTGTAGCATCTGTAATTTACCCCTCAGCCACGTATATTTGAATGTGTACATGCTGTGTAAGTTCTGTAGTGCATTACATATGTATTTGTTGGTTTTTTTTTCTTTGTTGTATATGGTACTATATAGATTGAATTGAAAGACATAATTACTAATTATCTTAATGAGAAATCCCACCTTAAAAAATACAAAATAAATATTGACTATATCCCTGAAAGTTTTCAGTTGTTGTTTGGGGGACTTATTAAACATTAACTCTTATGTGAATAAGCAACCTTGAAGCCATACTACCATATTATATGAGGTAAGTAAAATTATAACATCAGGTTTGTTTGTAAGTTCTGCCTGAAAGTTCATTACATACACTATGGATAGATGTTTTTTTCCTGTTTTTTTTTTTTTCTTTTTTTAAATTAAACACAGGATCTTGCTATGTTGTCCAGACTGGAGTACAGTGGCTATTCATAGGCGTGATGGTGCACTACAGCCTTGAACTCCTGGGCTCAAGAATTCTTTGAACTCATTTGGTTCAAGAATAAAAATGTGACACTCAAATTTCCTGAGTGCTAGTCCTGTTTAATGCACAAAATATACATTTAGTATAAAATACAACTTAGAAGGAACGTTTGTTTTACACATGTGTTATAGTATGTTTTATAAATGCTCCACCCTTTCCTAAAACCCCAGACTGGCTTCCTGGTATTTGCTTCAGTAGTTCTATATGAATAGCAAAATACAAGGGATTAGGTCTGGCAACCAAACACTTCTGCAAACAAAAGGAAGGTAAACTGATCATTTATAATGATAAATTCTCCTTTACCCTTGTGATTTGAGCTATTCTGCAGACAATTCCCAAGGGATGTGATTTACAGTTTTCACTCTGAGAGATGTAGTCTTGCTGACTAACACCCCTTTAATTAAAGATCACTTTCCATTTCTTGCAGCTCTTACATCTAGGCTATTTAAAATAATTTTATAGTGTAAATTCACTTTTTGCTACTACTACCATTTTATATTCAGAAAAGTTACACAATGTGGTATTACAGAAGCAACACAATCTTTGTAGATACATATAATTTGGTTCTTTCTCTCCCTTCTCCCACCTCCCCAAAAACAACTCTTTTCTTCACCTGAATTTTTGTCATTTTCATGAGAAATTGATCTTTTGTATGGACTAAAGTCACTAGGTACCTCTGAAGTAAATGAATTATTTCTGTTTAAAATATGCTAGCTATGGAGATGTAGTACCTAGACTTCATAAACATGCTTTTTTGAACATCAACATCTTTTCAAGGCATTGTAATGGTGATATATTCTTTGTTACACAGAAAACTTACCTCATTATCAGTGGCTTAATACTTTGACCATTTTTAAATTGCACAGGTCTAAATCTGAGTATGTATCTGTCAACTAGAACACTGAGTGTTTAACTTCAATTTCTTCTCCACTAAAACTGCTTCCTGATGCTTTATTTTTATGCTTTATATTAACAGTGTCACAAATAATAAATATATTATTCTCAAAATATTTTGTGCTACAGACTCTAGTGAAGTTTTGCTGGGGTCCAAAGAGAAACCAAAATAAATATTATGCTCTGACAGTAGTATCTCAAAAGGAGAAAGGAAAAAATATTTTTTGAAAAGATGCCTATTCATGGTTTCCAAGTATGTATGCTATACTGTGTAAAAATATAGAAGAACTATTTCAAATATGATTTGCATAATATATCTGGGAAAAGGTATGTGTATTGTCCCTGTGTTATTTTGTATTAAAGTTTGATGTTTGCTTTTAAATAACCAGATGATTCATTTGAAAATACTGAGTTAGTAGAATTTTTACATTTCCTTTTTATTATTACTTTGTTTTTTCTACTCATCTACATATGGCAATAGACTTGAGAAATGATAAACAAAATGTATGTTTATCCATAGCTTCAAATAAAGTACTGTTTGGTTCATAAAGGAGTGTCCAATTTCAGTAGAGATTAGGAAAGAAGAATATAGGATTAAGGGTAACAAACATCCATGAGCAGGGTGACAAAAAACCATGAGGTCTTTTTCTTTTGTCAATATACAAAATAATTATACTGAGAAGTAACTAAATGGATAGCCTATATTTAAAATTTGGAAATCTAAAAATGTTTCCCATTTTACTTTTTCCTTGCAAAACTAAGTATTCTTAAAATAGACAAAATAGAAAAGCTATTTGCTCACCTGATCATGTTTCTCAATATGGTGTCAGGATGACAAGTGCTTTCATACATCTCATTTGAGTTTTAAGTTGTCTCAGCTTAGATTTCTAGTAGCATTAGAAATCTAAGGTTTAAATTTTTTTAATAGATATAACTCTCACTGCTTGAGCAGATTAACTCAGATTATTTTAATGTGGCTGAGTTTTATGCCAGCTAGCTTTGCTGAAAGAAAATATCTGTTTTTTTAGAGCTGTTTGATTTCTCCACGTTTTGTTCACAGCCGGGATAGATCAACTGCTGGAAAAATAATTCAAAGCACATTTCTGTCAATTTGAGGACTTCTCTCTATATCTAGAAACCAACATGTTCAATTTAGCATAATGGTTCAGAGCACAAATCTAGAGTTAGATCGCCTGGGTTCCAGTGGCAGATGTGCCACTTACTATTATAGTTGTGTGGCCTTTGAATTAACCTCTCCAACCAGTTGCTTCACATGTAAAGTGGGGATAATAATAGTGCCTACCTCAGGATTACTTTAAGTATTATATGAATTAATGTACATACAATTATTATAATAGTGCTTGCCATGTGGAACATATTAATGTTAATAGTCATTGCCATTAGCAGCAGTAGCAGATTCTTCAGCATTCACCTTGTTCTCCTTGTGAAGATCATTTGATAAGTCTCTCCTCTTCGGGTGTTACAGAATCTGACTACCTCAACAGTTGATTTTCCTGATTTGTTATTTGCAAATAGCAAATGTCATCTACAAAGACAGTACTGTTTCCTTGACTTTCCTGCCACTTTCAAGTCTACTGCCAGGAAGAATGACTACTCGAGAGTTAATGGACTTTAAGAACCTCAGAGGCTAAAGAAATCCAGCTAAACAATTAAGCTTGGTCACAATTACTATAGCACTTCTAGTCACAGAATATCTGGTAAATGTTGATTATTATAGTAGGCTCTGTAAGGGAGAGATTACAGATTCATTCAGAATTCGTTTGTTAGGGGCATACTACGTGCCAGACACTGGGCAGGGGTCTGGAGTTAGAGGGAAACAAAACATAGTTTAAGACCTCAAAAAACCTACTTTAATGGGAGAAAGAGAGTTATACTTGGAAATACAGTCATGTGCCAAATGACATTTTCAGTCAACAACAGATTGCATATACAATCATGGCCCCATATGATTATAATGGGGCTTAAAAGTTCATATCAGCCCAGGCACAGTGGCTCACGCCTATAATCCCAGCACTTTGGGAGGCTGAGCTGGGCAGATCACCTGAGGCTGGGAGTTCGAGATCAGCCTGACCAACATGGAGAAACCCCGTCTCTACTGAAAATATAAAATTAGCCGGGCATGGTGACTCATGTCCGTAATCCCAGCTACTCTGGAGGCTGAGGCAAGAGAATCACTTGAACCTGGGAGGTGGAGGTTGCAGTGAGCCGAGATCGCGCCATTGCACTCCATCCAGCCTGGGCAACAAGAGCAAACCTCCGTCTCAAAAAAAAAAAAAAAAAAGTTCATATCACCCTAGTGACATTGTAGGTAGCTGTTGTTACATTGTATCACACTTTTTTGTGTGTGTAAATTTAGCGTAACCAAAGTGTATAGTGTTCATAAAGTCTACAGTGATGTACAATAATACTAGGCCTAGGCCTTCACATTCACTCACCATTCACTCACTGACTCAGAGCAACCTCTAGTCCTGCAAATTCCATTCATAGTAAGTGCTCTATATAGGCGTACCCATTTTTTATCTTTTATGCCGTATTTTTACTGTACCTTTTCAGTGTTGAAATAGATACCATTGTGTTACCTACAGTATTCAGTACAGTAACATGTTGTATAGGTTTGTAGCCTAAGAACAATAGGCTATACCATATAGTGTAGGTGTGTAGTAGACTATACTGTCTAGGTTTCTGTAAGTACACTCTGATGTTTGCACAATGACAAAAGTGCCTAAGAATACATTTCTCAAAACGTGCCATCGTTAAGCGACGCATAACTATGTAACAGAGTGTTTCAGTCCTCAGGGCATCCAAGAGTCATGGGAGAGTCATCCAGAGAAACTTATGTCCAAGCCAAGATGTGAAGGACAAATAAGAGTTGGGCAAAGAGTGATGGGAGGGGACACTTCAGGCAGTCTGCACAGCATGTGCAAAGGTGCAAAGACAAGAGAGTGTGGCTATTTTGGGGAACTATACGAAGTTCATTATAGCCAGAGTATGGAGTGAAAGATGAGCATGGAGAGGTGACCAGGGGCCAGTAATGAACAGTCAATAAGCCTTTTCTGAGATCTGAGGGCCTTGTAGAGCCATCAAAAGATTTTATTAGGAAGGTAACGTGGTCAGATTAGTATTTTAGAAAAACTACTCTGAGAACAAGGGATGGAGGGGAAGTTGCAATGAAGACAACAGATTGGATATGAGACAAATTTAGAGGCAAGGAAGCAGTTTAAAGGCTGTTATAATAATCCAGTAAGAAAGGATGGTATGAAGAGAGGTATAAAGAGAGGCAGTAGGTGTACAACAAGATGAACCAGAGAAGTTGGTTGCATTATACTACACATATCCAAACAGAAAAAAATATATTACATTGGAATGTGCTTTGGCAAAAGACAGAGAGGTGTCATGAGACTGCCAAGACCAAAGGAATATAAAGGAAGTGACGTTTGTTAAGTGCCTACTAACCTGTACAGACACTTTGTATACATTGTGTTCTGTATACCCTGTCTACCTAAATTTGCATCATCGGTAATGTCTCCATTTGTGAATGTTCAACAGTGCCGATGACAATCCTTAAAATACATGCATTACCAACTTCAGTGCCTTCTTTAAGGGACATTGTGGAGTTTAATTTGGCTTTTTCTAGTGTCTCAGAATCATCAAGATGGAGAGTACTTTGATTATTTTTTTTTTTGTATTGAGCACTGATTAGCTCTGTATTAGACTGTAGTGTTTTCTAAGTTCTTGTATCAGCTTTTTTGTCTTTCCTGTCTTTTCCTATGCTTTTAGTTCCTGTTGATATCTATGTCTGCCTTTAGCAACTCATATTCCCTTTTAATTTTTTGTTTCAAACCAGCTATGAGCTAGGGAAATACCATCAGGTTTGTTAGAATAAATCTAAAATGACAATAAGAACAAAATTCACGTATCTATGAACCTTGTGGCTCTAATTCTGGCTCCTCAGAAGCTCTACTTTCCTTCTAGCTTTTGACTGTGTCCTAGAAAGCTGAATTTGTTGGATAAGTGGCTCTAGGTAAATGAGCTACAGAGGCTATTTCATCTACCAGATATTTACCTGTTATTTACAGAGGTCTTTTTAAAAAAAAAGATATAAGATGAGAAAATAATCTATTCATCCGCAGTTTTCTTAACATGCATCACAATGTTTCATCCTTCCTTTGCCTTCACTGTCTTCCTTTTCCCAACTCCTGCAACCACCAGTCTTCACATGGATTATTGACAGCAGACAGTGGCTAAACTGATTAGTGATATACTTAGTTAGACAGTGACAATAATAAATGACCTAATTTTAGATATACCTAGTAAGATTTTCCCTTTTAACAACTTATTTGTCTAAGCAAACACAGTTATAGCTTCCGTTACTGACAAAAATGTTTAAATGTATACACTACAAGCAAATGTTTTTAAGCTTGGAGCAGTGTAACTGAACAAGATGCAAAGCTTACAGCAAAAGACCTAGGAAAAGACAAAGTAGTTAAATTGCAACTAATAAGCTGTGTTTCAGTTCACCCGCTGGAGACTGCTAATATTCTGTGTAAGATGGTAGCAAATTTTAAAATCCCAGTTGTCTTCATTTGCTATAAAAACCAATAGAAAAAATAATAATAATCTGTCCAAAGCTGATTGAACAGATTTTTTTTTTAATGATTTGAATGTGACTGTTTCTCTTTTGTGTTCTTCTCCCTGCAGAGACACAGTGCTCTGTGCCTATACAGTGTACGGATAAAACAGATAAACAAGAGGCGCTGTTTAAGCCTCAGGCTAAGGATGATATAAATAGAGGTGCACCATCCATCACATGTGTCACACCAAGAGGACTGTGCAGAGATGAGGAAGACACCTCTTTTGAATCACTTTCTAAATTCAATGTCAAGTTTCCACCTATGGACAATGACTCGACTTTCTTACATAGCACTCCAGAGAGACCCGGCATCCTTAGTCCTGCCACGTCTGAGGCAATGTGCCAAGAGAAATTTAATACGGAGTTCAGAGACAACCCAGGGAACTTTGTTAAAACAGAAGAAACTTTATTTGAAATTCAGGGAATTGACCCCATAGCTTCAGCTATACAAAACCTTAAAACAACTGACAAAACAAAGCCCTCAAATCTTGTAAACACTTGTATCAGGACAACTCTGGATAGAGCTGCGTGTTTGCCACCTGGAGACCATAATGCATTATATGTAAATACCTTCCCACTTCTGGACCCATCTGATGCACCTTTTCCCTCACTTGATTCCCCAGGAAAAGCTATCCGAGGACCACAGCAGGTAACTGTTTTGCGTTAACAAATATATTATTATGTGTGAACACACATTTTGCCATACATGCACAGATATGCATCTCTTTTACGTTATCTGACATCCTTTTTAAACTACTGTCTAGCCAAAGTTAGGGGTTTCAGAAAAACAAGTCCTATAATAAATGACATGAAATTAGAAAAGCTGAATATGGTAAAACTATTGTAAAGTATCTTAGAATTTATGTCATTTAAAAATTCATGTTAAGCCTTATCCGTATCTATTGTGGTGTCACTTTCTTAGTTCCTTATTCAAAGCTTGTTTACTCAGGATTAATAATATTATTAAATTTCATAGTGTGAAACAAATGCTGTTTTATTTAATAGTTTGTGTATATCATATTCATCTTTATAAGAATTCACGATCTTATGTAAATAATTGCATCTTACATTCCGATTTATCAACATAAGTGAACTATCTTTCAATGAATACTTCTACTATATCCTCAGTTATATAGTACGTAGATCTGTAGGGTTTAGTTTTGGTTTTGGTTGCTAATCTGGAAATGAACATGTAGCCTAGTATATTTTTAAAATAGTCTCTGCATGTGTATGATATCAGATATTTTATTTAATGTTTCTAAATCTCACAGACTTATATCCCCCAAACCACTCCTGCCCTCCCTTTTAGATTCAAGTTCCATCACAGAATGATTCTTTTAGTTAAAAAAAAAGTTTAATGTCTGAAAGCAAATGAAAACTATAAAATTTTTACAAAAAACAGAAGCTTATGAAAATAGATTGATGTAAATGTCTATGTAACTTGCAAACATTTGTCTGATTTCTCTTTGTCTTGAGATTTTTTTTTTTAAAGTTGTTAATACCCTTTTGCTTTAAGTACACTTATAGGTTATAGACTTAAATCAGCATGCAAAGAAGGCAGTTGTCAAGCTGCGGTATATTTTAGTAGTGGGAAAAACTAGGCATGGCTGACAATAAGTTTTAATTATAACCTCACTTAGGTTCTTGTTCATTATACTTTATTTCACATCATAGTCTCTGTTATAGTTGCTACTAAATGAAACAAATTAAACAATTTCATTTATTGCAAGTAGAATTCCTGTGGAGCTGTGAAGTGCATCAGTTCTAATGCTTGTTACTTTTTTCTCTATTATATGTCTTGCTTGTTCTTTTACTAGTCTGTGCATTCATGTTTCAGTAGATGGCACCCTGCATTGTACATTTGCTTTCTATACTACAGCAAGGGAAACAGCTGGTATGTGATTACAACTTGATGGAAAAGTATTCAGCTTAAAAAATTCAGGAGAATTAGTGTTGAGTTGTCACAAGACATGGGGCATAAGGTTAGATAATTGATATTTTGGCAGAAAAAGCAAAGAAATTAGTTTGTTTTGAAGACCATGTTACAGTTTAGGATGGAAAGAATATTTCTTAAAGTGAGTTTTTTAAAAAAACATTTTAAGCTATTTTATTTGTATTAATAAAGCTAATATTATACAAGCTAGTATAAGTACAAAATTCCTGAGTTGGGCCAGGTATGGTGGTTCATGCCTATAATCCCAGCACTTTGGGAGGCTGAGGCAGGATTGACTGAGCCTAGGAATTTGAGACCAGCCTGGGCAACACAGTGAGAACTTGTCTCTACAAATACGTATAGATATATAGATATTTGTAGCTGGTTGTGGTGGCATGCGCCTATTGTCTCCAGCTACTTGGGAAGCTGAGGTGGGAGGATTGCTTGAGCTAGGTAGTTCGAGGTTGCAGTGAGCTGTGATGGTGCTACCACACTTCAGCCTGGGTGACAGAGTAAGACCCTGTCTCAAAATAATAATAATAATAATAATAATTTTTTTAAATCCTGAGTTGTTTGTAGATAGTAACAAAGAGAAGTGAAATTTTTGGCTGCATATTTAAAAATTTTACTTTATATCAATCATTACTACTAAACATCTATTTTATATATTCAGCTATCATAACCAAGACTAAAGTGTATCAGATTATTATTGTTCTATGTGATTTTCTTTTTTACTTTGCTGAGTCAGTGAGTGGGATCCCAACTAAATTCTATGAAGAGATCAAATCTGAACTAAAAGTTCTTAATAGAGAAAAATGAATATGGACTTAATAGGTAAATTGGGAGCAGAAGATTGGCTTACCAAATTTAGAAGCTAAATTGCTTCTGATTTAATTTCTTGCTATTTTATATAAATAAGGACTATCTTTAATAATCTTTTATTTCTGGCCATATCAATTTCTCATTACAGTGATTTGTACTTTTTTGTTTAAAACTGAAAACATTAAAATTAGAATCAAGTTAACTCTAACTAGATTTTTGCTTGTATGCTCACAGTTTTTACTACTTTTACCAAAGAAGTTTTTCCAAAGAAAGTTATTTTACCTTAAATTTTATAACATTTTTTTAAATATTACTATTTTTGTAATAAAATTGACATTTCTTATGAAAGGAATTGAGTCAGCATTATTATAAGTCCTCCATACTGATATTTGAATGTATCTGGGTGCCTAGACAGACGTTGTATATTTACACCAATTGTACACAGCTGTCCAGTAAACTTTATAAGAAGACAGTGATGTCGTGAAACCCAAATGCTTCAATCGGTAATATACTGTTTATGTAAATGATTGGTTAACCAGAATGAAAGAAGTTAGGGGAAATAACAGTAACACTTGGCAGGTGCTAGACTAGGCTGTGTGACTTTAAAAACATATTGTAATAGGAGGATAAGGGGTCTTTTTAAATTTGACTTTATGAGGTGATTAAAATACCAGAATTTAGCTGTGTCAGAGTAATTTACCTGTGTCCACATAAGAAAGAAATTTTTAAAAATAATTTGTTTTACACAATTCAGGGAAATATTTTCCAGTTAACAAACATCTATTGTGTAGCATTAAGCCAAATGCTATTTCTTGTCCTTCTAGAAGTTTAAAAAAAAAAGAATAAATGCAGTTATGAAAGGGTATTTATGTGCTGGTTATAGTGGAGGTGGTTCTATTAGATTATGACTTGCCATAATTCTTTAACCAGGCAACTGTTGACAAGTTTCACTTTATTCAGCCACAAGAATGAGTAAGGCCAAACTACCTATTATATAACAGAAGCAAAGTAAGAAGTCAAAACACTGCATGTGTTAGATTTTGTTGAATGATTAAGTATTTGCATTTTTAAAAACAAAAGATAACTGATCAGTGAAATTTGTTCAGTAGTTTAAAAGGAAAATTTTCTTTTTAAAAATCAAAATAATGCTGATTCATGTATGATGTATTCACTGTATTTGCTTATAAACAATAGTGAAATTGATTTTGAGTAAGACGCAATGCACACACACATCATGTCTTGTGTACTGTGTAATTAATAAAGCCCCTATAAGTTAAGGTTTTTATTGTAAAAAAGAAAAGATAGAATTTAATTTAAAAGACCAGAGTATTAACTATTGTTCCAAAACTACTCCCGTTGTGATCATTGGGTATTAAAAATTGCATACTAAAGCTGCAGTCTTTCTAAATATGATAAAATGCATAAGTGTGTGTCCCAAGTGACTTTTAATCAAAGTTTAGTTGTCCCTTTTATGAAACCAAGAATTGAGTCATGTCCTCATGCTAACTTCATGGAAAAGTAATTTGCTTTTATATTAGGGAATTAAATATATATGCTCATACATAACTCATTCAAAAATTCAAATTTGAAGTCCAGTGCTATTTGAATTTAAACATAAGTAACAGATATTTTTGTTTGTTTCCTGCAGCCCATTTGGAAGCCCTTTCCTAATCAAGGCAGTGACTCGGTGGTACTAAGTGGCACAGACTCAGAACTGCATATACCTCGAGTATGTGAATTCTGTCAAGCAGTTTTCCCACCATCCATTACATCCAGAGGGGATTTCCTTCGGCATCTTAATTCACACTTCAATGGAGAGACTTAAGACACATTTGAAAACAGACATACCAAGTTCTATGTGATGATTTGGGGTTTGTAATACTATAAATACTTGATTGTAAACTAAATTCAAGATCATTTATAGGAAAATCTAGTTTCACAGCTATTTGAATTGTTTTCTAGATTTACTGTATAACTCTTTCATTTTTTTAAAAGATCATTCTATTCTTTCAAGGAGAAATAAGCCTAAAAGAAGAAAAACAAAAAAAAAAACTGCATAAAACTGCAATCCTTTGTATTCATGTTTACAGTGCTATTACTATAATTCAAAATTACATATGTGACTTAGTTATATAATCATAATTTATGTTTATTTCAAATATCTAAGTTTATTGCTTGGATTTCTAGTGAGAGCTGTTGAATTTGGTGATGTCAAATGTTTCTAGGGTTTTCTCAGTTTTTATTGAAAAATTTATTTATGCTATAGGTGATATTCTTTAAATAAACCTATAATAGAAAATAGCAGACCTAATACATTTCTTGTCCAGTGATAAAACAAGTGGTAGAATTATTTAAACACTTAAGATTTTTAAAATAATATACATGGCTTTAATTTTACTATATGTATAGCTACATGATGAAATTAAATATCAAGAGGTACTTATGTTGTGATCAGTAGTGTGTCCTTTGTTCTTGATATAAAAAAAAAAAAGGAAGGAATCACATTTTTAGGGAAGTTTATAAAATTCTTGTTTTCTTTTCAGTAACCTAGTAGAAAGGTGATGACCAGATTTGGTGGCATTTATTGACAATTACTGAATCACTTTGAATTTTAGAATTATTTTTCAAACTAAACTTTCTAAAGAAACATTTGTTTTTAATGGGAGCAAATATAAAACCCTACAAGGACTATCCATATTTGTTAACTTAGATTAGAAATGTTCATATTCTTGTTGAGAAATTTGTTATTCATTGTTAGCAGCCTGATTGATAGCCACTGAAAGACATTTGAGAGAGTGGATACCAAATTCAGAAGGCTGCAAAATTTGTTTAAAATGAGACTTCCCTTTCATTTTTATTCCCTATGATTCTCGCCTTTTAGGTGTCTCTTTTCCCGATTCTTAAAAGTGTTTAAGGCATGGCTTCCATTTTATGAAGTAAGCATTGCTTTGCAACCCTCAAAAATTTAAGCCTTCTTAAAGCAAGTGCTTTAAACTGGAGGGTGTAGGGTGGGGGAATTTGAGCAGACCTCTGTGCCACAGTGAAGAACCTTAACTTGTGGAAGAATGAGAGTGGTGCCTCGACTTCTCCCGGTGCCAAGCACATCATATTGACATCTTCCTCACCAAGGTGACAGCAATTATTAGGTATTCACTGCGAAGGGTTCTGAGGCATGTACATCTTTCTTTCATTGCCACTAGGGCTGAATGGAAATGCCTAGACAATTATCCAAGTTTCTTCCCTTCCCCCACCTCCCGCCCACCCAGCCTCCCCTCTCCACACACACGCACACACACACACACACACACACACACACGCACACGCACACAAAATTAAAAATAAAAACTTCCCAGCGTGTACCAGCCAGAATATACCACTGTACCTATCTCATGAAAGGGGATTCTTTTTTTCCCCTGTCCTTTTCTAGATGGGAAGACTTCCTCTCAACACAGTTGACATCTACTCAGTGCTTGCTGACAACCACAGGAAAGTCTATGGCCCAGAAAGTGACTCAGAGTGTACTACTGACCTTCCTCCCCAGCCCATCCTTTCCCCGCCCCCACCACTTTTAGCAGGACTAGCAAACTCGGTTTTCTTTTGGGTTCCAGCGGCACCCTAAGCTCCACGTTGTGAGGGACAGAGACCCTTTGGGGCCACAGGAGAGGCGGCCTGGAGAGCAGCCCCCGCCCTGCTCTACATAGGAAGCGCGGGCCACCGCTCTAAAGGTGGAGTGGGCACCCGCCAGGTCTCTCCCTCTATCTCTTGACTGAGTCGTGCAGGGGCTGCTGGCTTTTGGCATCTGCTAAGCGTGGCCGGGTAAGAACAGCTCCCAGGTAAAAAAGCTGCACACGCGAAACGCCGAGTCTGAAAAAACCACCCCCGCCGAGGCGAGGCAGTTGTGAGCGGGATGCCTGAGAAGTGGGAGGTGAATGTCCTCGGGAGGGCCCCCCCCGGTGCAGCTTTCCCCGGAGGCTGAGGCTGCTGCCAGCGGGGACATCTGCTTTCTTACACTCCAGCCTGGCTCACCCCGCCCCCTCAGCCCCGGGTTGCGTGGTTATTTTACCAACACGGAGGGAGGGAGAGCTCGAGGAGGTAGAAAAGGGGTGGATGGAAGCTTATAAGATTTTCTTCCCACTCTTCGTCCCCTCCTTTCTTCACATCTTTTAACCTTCAAGGTAAAGAGTTTAGGAAACAATAAGCGTGTCCGCCGGCTCGCAGACCCGCCTTTGGCTCGCCGGGGCTCTCCGGCGCGGGGCCTTGCCCCTCTCCATCCTCCCCAAGTCGGGCCGCGCTTCGGCGGTTCGGCTGGGCGCAGGGGCCGGCCGGGTGCGCCCAGCCTGTGGCGCCTCCTCTCCCCGGCTGCTGCCTCGACATCTGCTTGTAGCTACAGTAATTAGACTGTCAGTGCTTGTTAGAGGAGAGAGGGGAAAACACGCTTCTGACAGCAGATTCCAAGACTCCCCAGTTTGTTAATTTCTAAGAGATCTTTAAAGCATTAATTGAGGTCTCCCCAACTCTCCCCTCCCGTCCCTCTCCGCAACTCCTCCCTTCCCAAAAATATCTTTAGGAGAAGCGAGTTCTCTCGGCGTGGAAGCAGTGTTTCCCGCAAAACTGCCAGCCCGCCCCCCCGCTCACGCACAGGCACCCAATTTCCCATATACAGATAAATGCACACATGTATACGCGGAAGGTTAACTCGGCGGAGGACTCGCCCAAATAGGCACCGGGATTGCATTTAAAATAATAATAAATAAATAAATAAATAAACTAGGAAGGAAAGCGGGGGGAGGGAAGCAGAAGTCGGGAAGAAAAGAGAAAAGCAGCAGGCTGATTACGAGGTGTCAAAACTGCCAGGAGCAAGAAGGTGATAGCAATCAGGGGTGAGAAGAGTGCGGCATTCGTGCGGGGCAACTAATTATCCGTCTCATTTGAGAAGAGCAGCATTTGAGGCAGCAGCGTTCGCCTGCTGAACGGTGACAGATTGGCGCGGAGGAGAGGGGAGGTGTTAAAACAATGGAGCCGGGCGCGCGAGCGCTGCTGCATGCTAATCAGCCCTCCCTCCGCCTGCCTGCCGCGCTCCCTCCTTCCTCCCGGCCTCCCTCCTCCGCGCTCCCTCCTCCCGCCTGCGGCGCTCCCTCCTTTCCAGCGGGCCCCGCGCCGCCGCCGCCACCCGCTTCCTGCTCCCTCGCTTTCCCGCGCGTCCTTCCCGCCGCTGGCGAGTGGAACACAGCCACCGCTAGCGAGTCCCTAGCGGGCCGGGAGCCCCCGCGCGGCCCTCCGAGCCGGCCCGGCGGAGCGCAGCCCCGCGCGGGTTCGCCTGAGGGCTCGGTCGGCGCCGCGCGCCCACTCCCCGGGGCGGTGGGGCGAGGACCCGCCATCCAGGATCCACGTCTTGGGGAACAGGCCGAAGAGCCCCGTTCTCACGCCCACTCGCTTTCTGGTGAATCTAGCGCGTCGGCCAGCGAGTGAGAGTGGGAGTCCAGGCGAATTCAGAAAGGGCTAGGGACAGCCAAGGCTGGAAAGAGTGGCAGGGCCACAAAGGCCAAGAAGGGTTCCAGGACTGACCGCAGATCCCCTGCCCTGCCCCGCCCCAGCGAGGCCGCCACCCCGAGGCCTCCAGGCGCCCCCAACCCGCCCTGCAGCGGCCGCGCCCTGCTGGCCTGCGGCGAGTCGGCAAGGTCAGCACCCCCCTGCAACGCTTCCCGCGCTGCGGCCCTTGGACCCCTGAAGCCCCTCTTTCAGTAGAGCGACTGGTCCACGGTTTAAATGATCGCTGCGAAGACACATAAAGGGCCTTAACATTAGCTGTGCTTCCAAGGCCTGACCTCCTGACCCCAAGACTTTACTAAGGGGCCGTCTGCGCCTCGAGAGTTCCCTCGAAAGGCCGTGGCGGGGACAGAAGGTCCTGGAAAGAAGCGGGCCGCGCTCCCCACTGCTGCGGAGACTGCGGGGCAGATGGGGGCAGGAGCAGATCCGGAGGCCCAGCTCCCCGCCTGGCCGCTCTGTTCTATACTCTGGCCTGAGAGAAGCTGGTCAAAAACAGCAGTGCCCTGGCCGCCCCTCCGACAAAGAGTCCATCGGAACCCGAGTCTGCTGAAAGAAGCCTTTGGTACCTGTTGATGCAGGCGGGGACCTGAGATTTGATACAACCTCCCGTTACTTTCTGACCGTAAAAGCTGACTGTTGCGCTTAAAGGACACTTTTATTCCTACCATTAAAATATTTTTACTGTTACGGTTTACATAAACTATCCTTATAAACATCATAAAACTTCCTTTCCCGTAAGCCGTGGATGGACCGCCAGAGTAACCAAATACCTGTGCAGTGTAATTGTTTCTTCTACTGACCCTTACCTTTGCATGACTTTACACACCATTAGTCCTTTTTAAAAAATCAATTTAAAATAAGGTTTGCTAAAGCTCAGTCATATATACACAAAGGTTTCATTTATATTATTCTGCTTTGTAATATGATAAAAGTACACAAAAATGAAATTAAAATGAGTAAATTTTGGTATTTTTATACCATCCTCATTGATTCTAGTCATGTGAAAAACTATACAAGTGCACAGAATGAATCATTTTTCCTTTTAGAATATGCCCAGGCATACCAATAGAGTAGCTGAATGCAAACTTCAGATCTACTAAAATCATACAAAATGTTTTAAAGTTTTTAAGTTGAAAAATCTTAGAAGAGTTACATAAAGGATTTTGTGTAAGTAAATGTTAATGTTTTCTGCTTTCCACTCTTCGGAAAACTACTAAGCAGGCCTCTGCCCTTGGTGTATTACAGACTTTCCGGTGCTGCAGTATTAGCTGGCATTTGGAAAATTCCCTTGTGTCTGAATCTGTTAAAATAGCAACCTATCTAACAGCAAAACAAATTTTAACTTTATATTTATTCATGTAAACGTGGAGATTCAGATGTTCCATCAGCATCAAAATTAAGCAATTTATTAACTATTCACCAGCCTTTGCTTCATTAACCAATTCTATAGAAGTAATGTCTCTCTAAAGCTGTGGATCTATAGAGCTCAAATAAATGTAGTTCAATTCCATGTCGTTATGTATCTCACCAAATTATTTATTTTCCAATAACTTGGTTTTTATAGGCTTAGTGTAATTTCCTCTCAATCTACAGACCTCACAAATTTGCATGACTGTTTTAACGGTGTATTTACAGATAAGTTTTTATTTGCACATAAGGACAAAAAGGTGAAGTGAAATTTGGTCCCAATGGAAACCTGTTAGGTTCCCTGAACATATGGCTCATTGGGCTGTTACTTCCTTTTTGAGATCATTTTCCAAGATTTTTTAATATATACATCAATTTGACACCAGTTATAAAGAAAATATATTGGCTTTGAAGATTCCTCCACCTGGGGCATATCTCTTAATAACACACCATGTAGTCAGGTGTACCTCTGAATGTACAGGTTTCCAGTCTCTGAAAACAGGGCATAATTTGAAATCAGTCAGAGCTGCCAGTTGATTTACACTGTCTTTGAAATTAGGTAGTTCTTTGGATTCTTAGAATGCCACATTGATTTGATTAATACAGTTTAGGGGTGACTGAGTAAAACTCTTTTTTGGAAGGCTGTGCATTTGGAATCCACAGTATTACAATGATTTCTCTCAGTAGATACAAGTGATACAAGTCTCATTTGTTGAAAGTGGGTGGTGCCAGCTTAAGACTTAAGGGGAAAATCACAGCACTTTGAAAAAGATGTAAATGTTCAATTGGTATAAAAGGGGAAAAAATTGTGCTAAAACATGTGCCTGTTTCCATTATGCTTAATTTACTATTCAAAACAAGTTTTTCCTAATAAGCTCTATTGTTTCTTTCTGTTTTGTAAAATTTAATATGTGTGAGACAAAAACCAGATTCAGAATGTGAATGAAGTCTGTTTAGCGAAAGATTGTGGGAGCTTACAGTTGAAGAAGGCCTCAAATTAAAAGAAACATCACCTTCTATCACCGAAAAAATACAAAGAAGCAAGTTTCTTGGGTCATTTCTAGAACCAGTTCCTAGATTGCCAACTTTCTCCATCCTCAGAGCTCCTCATGGATGAATTCACACACTTTAAAGTGCACCAAGCACTAGAATATTCAGAATGATTATGCCACGTTTACTTACTGCATAACTGTAGCTTTCATCTTATTGTAGTGCTCTTTTTTCTGAAGTATCAATCCCATAATAGGACTGAAGGAAGTTCTCAAACATGTTATCCCCTTGTCTTGCCTATACAGGGTTATGTCTGTCTCAAAGTCACTCACACATCTCCAGAGAATCTGCACTTGATTATGTAACCCTTTGACGTTTAACCCATCTCCCATGGTTGAATGTCCCTTTGGAATCTAGAAGGCCTGGATATCCTGGCACTTGCCCATGTGTCCTTTGTTGTTTAGAGCTTATTAGGAAAAACTTGTTTTGAATAATAAAGCATAATGGATATTGTTAATATCCTTTGGAAGGAGTGTACAAATAATGACTTCTTGCTTTAAAATAATTCAAGAAATAGTTGTTTTTAAAATAAGAAAATATTGGTCGGGCGTGGTGGCTCACACCTGTAATTCCAGCACTTTGGGAGGCCGAGGCAGGTAGATCACCTGAGGTCAGGAATTCAAGACCAGCCTGACCAAGAGATGGAGAAACCCTGTCTCTACTAAAAATAAAAAATTAGCCGGGCATGGTGGCATATGCCTGTAATCCTAGCTATTTGGGAGGCTGAGGCAGGAGAATCGCTTGAACCTGGGAGGCGGAGGTTGCGGTGAGCCAAGATCACGCCATTGCACTCCAGCCTGGGCAACAAGAGTGAAACTCTGTCTCAAACAAATAAATAAATAAATAAAATGAGAAAATATTAAAGACTGCCTAATTCAGCTTTCTTTTTGTGTGGACAAAACAAACAATAAACAAAAAATACCCCACTGTATCTAAAGAGAATAAATGAGTCCATCACACCTACTCAAATAGTTGGAACTCAACTCAAGCTCTCCTGTCTTTTTCAATCTATTGTTTTTTCCATGACCAACCCCTACCTCAAATAAAATATAGTTTTTCACTGACTTTGTACTTTGTTTCAGAGGATGCCTGAGTCCTACCCAAAGTCTTTTTACACAAAAGAATGAACCACAGAGAGAGGAGGGGGCCTGACATTACCTGACACTGGAGTGGGGTTTATTATTTAAAGGTTGTCGGTCAGGTGAGGTGGCTCACGCCTGTAATCCCAGCACTTTGGGAAGCCAAGGCAGGCAGATCACCTGAGGTCAGGAGTTCGAGACTAGCCTGACCAAGAGATGGAGAAACCCTGTCTCTACTAAAAATAAAAAATTAGCCGGGCATGGTGGCATATGCCTATAATCCTAGCTATTTGGGAGGCTGAGGCAGGAGAATCGCTTGAACCTGGGAGGTAGAGGCTGCAGTGAGCTGAGATCACGCCACTGCACTCCAGCCTAGGGAACAAAGCCAGACTCCATCTTAATCAATCAATCAATTAATGTTGTCAATTTATCACCACTCTAACAAGGGCCCCAGTCCATTTCTGCTTGGAGAAGAGGCACCTTAACTCACTGGGTGTTGAGCATCTCTCTGGCCTGCTCCAATGAGGGAAGAGCAAGTCGTGGAACATATTTTTGTAGACACAAACTAACATGAGAGAAGATAAAAAATGATTTGTACCTCTAGAGTATGGAGTTAAACTTACCATAACTGCCAAACTACAGTGCTAAGTTTTTTAACTGTGAATTCTAGGTTAGAGTTTGTCTGGGGGAAAAAAAAATAGCTAACCAGCATGAACTGGAAGTGAGCTTATGTATTTTCTAAAACTATCGATCTGGAACTAAAACATTCTCTAAACCAACCAAATACTTCATTTGGCCTTCACTGTCTGGAGATGGCTGTGCAGCTCAGAAGGAGGTCTCGGCCTTATATTATCTTCCCCTGAGAGTGTTGGTGAATCAACTCTGAAAACAGCACTCATTAGACAAATAGTTTCTCCATTTGCAGCTGTTAAATAGCTCTACCCGCCAGTGATAAAGGGGCATCCTGTGTGGGTGTATTCAGACCACTTCAAGCAACTGGCTTAAAAGGCAGGCTAGCTCACTGGGGATCCAAAGTATCAGTAAGGGTGATAAAGCTTGCTTGAAAAAGCTCTCTCTGACTGGGGCTGGGGAAGCAATGCAAGCAGCAGGCTTCCTCCAGAAAGGCAGCTTTCTGACTCCTCACCCTCTCACACACACTTCAATATGCAAAGACCCACTGTTTTGTTGCGTTTTTCCTGAGGTTTTACTATTGACATTGCAAAAGCCTTTTCTTTCAGCATCTGCAAGACCCTATTTCATGAGATCTATTTCTAAGTTAAAGCCTTTCATACATTTCAAAGCAGACTTTGCCTTTAAAGTTCGCAACTCTTTTTTTCCAAAATAAACTAAATACCAATGGGTAACGTGGCTCCATAGTCAAGGTTTAGGAAAAATATACGCACTAATGCCGGCATGGGAACCACTGTAACTGACATTCCACTTGCAGACATGCTAGGGTACGCTCTATCGGCCAGGGATGGAGGGTTTCTGTGGGCCAGACCCAGTCTGCCAACCTTAGGAAAGGAACCCGGCTCCATTTCCTAGTGAAGTGGCAACAATGACTGCCAGTTCCTCCTCAAATATAATGTAAGGACATTTCCAAGTCGCTTCAGTCATTTCTTCCTCCTCCACCCTACCATGTGCTTACAAAAGTATGCTGTAGGAGAAACTCAATTTCTTTTTCCAGGCAAGGTTCCATTAAACATGTCCCCAATAACCTCATTACATCAGACAATGAGCCTTCCTTCTTGTATGGTTTCTTCAGCAGAATATTTTTTAGTTAGAATAGACAGATTTAGCCAATAAAAATACAGGATGCCCAGTTAAATTTTTTGAATTTCAGGTAGATAACCATTTTTTTACTCTAAGAATGCCCCATGCAATATTTGGCAACCCTATTTTTAACATCACATTGACGATCTAGATATGGAGTTGAATCTTAGCAGATTCTCTCCTAGTTTGGGGCTGGGGAAGTGGTTAGGTGTGGAGTTAATATTTACTCTTTTTCCGTCCGGAATTTTCTTTCTTCCGTTCTCCTTCCGCAGGGAACGTCTCGGGGCTTCTTGCACATCTCTCAGCATTTACTGTACGCCCCCCTCCCCTCGCTTTTGCTGATAAAATGGTTGGTGTTGTGTTTAAAGTGTTTATAAAGTCTCCTCCGTGATAACGCGAGCATTTAAGAGAGAGAATTCGTGGCACACCGCTTCCTCCCCTTCAGGGTGCCCCGGCGTCTCTCTAGCCGCCGCCTCCAGGCGGGTGAGGAGGTGACACCTAAGAATTCCTCCCTCTCACCCCTGACCCTGCCGGAAAGGGAAACTGAGATGCGGGCCTTGGGCCCCTGGGAAGCGAGGGGAAGAGGAAAGGAGAAAGCCAGGAGGGCTTTTAGGTCCCTTCCAGTGCCACACGGCGGAGCGTTGAGGGGCCGAGCGAGGCAGGCCCTTCCCTGAGGCCTGGACTGGAGGCCTCCTCCAGGCGCCGGCGATGGCCTGGGCCGCCTGCCGCCACGCTGGGGCCGCGCGCCTGGGCCCCAGGGCGCCTTTGCCGGCGGGAGGCCGGGGGGACCGACTGCTCTCGGCGCCCGGGGTGGGGGGAGGCCGGGAAACCTCGGCTTCCGGGCGAGAGGCACCCAGGCCCTTATCAGCCCCCCGGCCGTGGCCGCGCCGGGCCTCGCTTCAGCCGGGCGATTCTTCCCCTCATTTGTTGCATTGTTTGCATTAATATGAATATCTTGTTCTGTTTGTTTTGTCTCCTGAGAGCCAATAAAGCTGTGAGTTTTTTCTTTACACCAAATGCAGCTCTACGGGCGATCAATCAATGGGTAGTCTTCGGATAATCTGTGAGAGTGAGAAATCTAATAAAGCTAGCGACTAAAAAAGGAAAACAAAATCTATTTTTCTCTTAGGTTAACTACGTCAGGATTAATGTGTTCCACTTCTGCTGCCTGAGGTGGGTTTAACTCTTGTTCTTCCCCCCTCCCCCCAACAAATTGATTTAAATGTCAAGATGGGAGGGGAAGAGGGCTGAGGAAAGAAAGAGGAAAGAAAAGGGATGTTTAGGAGTCTCTTAAATTTTCTGATGGTTGGCCGATTCTTTCAAGAAGAGGGAAGACGGTACTTTCTAACGTCCCAGAAAATCAGAGAAATGGAGAATTCCAACAAAATGTAGTTTGGCAAAGAGACCCTCCCTCAGTTTTCCGAACAGACAGGAAATGTAAATTAATAATGACGTTAAATAAGTGATGATAATAAAACAAGTTATTATTAGTGCCCCCTGCCCCATCACTCATTTGCTTTTGCTAGATGCTAAACTTAACTCCTCAAATGCATTTTTTGGAGGGCCCCTCAACCATCCTGAGCAATGCAGGAAATAAGAGAAAGATCATCTGCCTGGGCTGCAGTTCTCCTCACAGCACATTGCAACCAAAATCATTTATAAACAGATCAAAATAACAATCTGAATTATCTAACATTAGCAGCTGAACTGAAGAGCCCAAGATTATGTGATGAATTGTTAAATTGCAGTAGCATTGTTTTGGATTGCTAATTAAAAAAAATAAGCAAACCCCATGACTCTAGATATGACAACTGAAAATACCCACAAATTATTTAATAAATGAAGCGTCTAACAACTTTAACACTTCCTGGTCGCCCTGTTAATAAATGTAATTTGAGGTAGATTTTTAAAATCTTCAATCTAAACAGTGAATTCATTACGCGCCATTCAGATCTCTGGATGCCTATGGACTTCTTGGAATTAGGTGTTAAATAGACAAAAGTGAACCAAACTGCCTTTAAAAGCACAGCATGACCATGTAATTCTTTTTCCAGTTTGTGGTAAAAAATGATGAAACTTCTTTCCAAGTAGCTATCACCCAGATTTAGTGTGAAAAGTAGTGTAATTGTAATTCACGCCATCAGGGTCTATCGCTGATAGACGATCAGCTGTTCTGTAGAGGGGAGAGGCTTTCTTTTCAAATAGGAAAGCTGCCAAGTGCTCTGCGATACCTCCAGCAAGCTTATCGGATTGAGTTCAGAGCCAAAACAGCAGCTGCACACATATGCAAATTGGCAATTAATAGTATAACATTCTGTAAAAAAAAAAAAAAAAATGTTTAAAAAAATTTTTAAAGAAAATAGAAAGAAGCTACCTGAACATTAACCTTAACTGTAACTGGGACTTCTAAGATGAATGACTAAGGATTAATTACCCTCTGGAGAGGACTTGCTCTTTAATACCTTCTCTCCTGCAGATCAAGTCTTTGTTGTCTTGCTGAGTTTTGTCTGTTTCATGGAACACAACAATACACTCTACAGGAAGAACTTTAAAGTAACTAAAAAGCCCTTATATTTTGATTCCAGAAAATGGAGAAATTCAGTCCTTTGCATGGATCATTCCTTCTGTAAACAGAGATCACAAAGCAAGAGCTTTAGCATCCTCGTGAAAAAGACATTTTGTTCTGGGTGTCATCATCTCCTTCCACTACAGCTTGCAATTGGAACAAGCTTCACATCCTGGGGGTGCTGCCTATCTCTGTCTTGATTTCTGTCTGTCTCTTCCTCCCATTGACAGGAATGTCGTTTGTATCCTCCACGCAGCAGTTTGCAGAAATCCAGCAAGGTTTATGGTTTATGTTGCCCAGCATGTATAAACACAACACTCTCAAATGTTTTTTAAAAATCTATGAATTTGTTAGATTTCTTAACATCCTGGTCCTCCTACCCCAATTCACACACACGAAGTACTCTGTTGCCCTGATATAGTCCTACGATAGTTCTGGCTAGGATTAGGTTGATGGTCTAAGCCCCAAGAAAGGCCTGGCATTTTCATAGCAGGCTTTTCCCAATGTTTTGAGTCTTCCTCTCTCACTCCCGTTTTCTTTTTCCCTTGGAGGAGGTGATGTTAGGGATGGGGGGTGATTAGCAAATGTTTCAGGTAATCTGTGAATTCTTAATAGTCATATTTCCATGGTGGAAGATCTCCCTATTTCTCTGATATGACAGGTTACAGAAACCTTGGTGTTGGGGGTTTTACAGATATTTCCAAGTTCTAGGAGTTTGAGCTTTGGGTCAAGATGTTGATTCCTTTTAATGTGTGAGGGTGAAGGAGATTTTACTTTGCTTTATTCTTTTGGATGTTATGAGATGAGATTGTATCTAGTCTTGGCTGTAACCTATACCATAAATGCAGAGTTGCAACCATTATTTCTGTCTCTTTCTCCTTTTATCACCTCCACTTCTAGAGATATTACTTTCAGTTTTATTGCAAATCAACTGTGTCTTTAGTTTAAACCATTGTTTTTCATATACCCTAGGCACATTTCCCTTATAATGAGAGAAATTTTAGATTATTAATGGTCTACCTAAAAGGATACTGTACACTTTTCATTGCCAATATGGGCTTTGAAGCTTAAATATCAACATTTTTATAGGAAATTTACCCATATCAAATTTTAATATATTTGCTTATATTTCTTGGAAAAAAGATTTTAGATAACCATCAATTAAGCACCCAATTCCATTTGGGGTGCAGAAAATTTTGAGCCCCTTGATAAGAAGGAAAAAGAAACTTTCCTCTAAATAACCAACACTGGTTCAGAAAAATTGAACTTTTCTGAATATTTATTATTAACAACACTTTTTTTGTCTGATTCCACTAGAAGCATCCTATGTTATGAACACCATAAAGTTATGAGGGAAAAAAATCGCAAATCTAAATTTTATTTAGAAGTAAGATACTGTTTTTCTTGACTTGCAATCCAATTCGAATGCATTGTTAGATTTTCTGTTTTATTATGATTAAATAACAATGGTTTAAAATGATAGCAAGTCAACTGAAAAGTTGCTTTGGAGTAAAACAAAAGTGGGAATGCCAACTTTCTTTTCTTCTCTATAACTTCATTAACATGGTTGTATAGACATTTGCATGTAAAATGTAGCTAACAAAAATTACACAGAAGTAAATTTAGTCCCCTAGTGCCTACCTCTATGGTGAAATCAGACCATTTGGCATAGTTTGAAGTCTTCCAAGAAGCCTGGTTTCCACCTGGAAAATAAATTACTAAATTTGAATGTGTTACTTATACTATGGTGAGTTGTCTATCTGTTACATTTTATTTTAGTGCATATACTAGAAATTGTATTTAGGGTGTTCTAAAATTGTCATCTGTCAAGGTAGAGAATTATAATAATATAATTATACTCAGAAAGCATTCTGATTTTAGATTATTTTGGCACTGTTACAAATACGATGAATTTTTAAAAAATTCAGAATGTTTATTACAAATTCATATGTTTAATTGTCAAATTTTGAAATTAATTTAGATAAGCTATAACCTAAGTTTATTTTCTTTGCATTTATTGGTACATAGTTAATGCTTGTACACAGGCTTCAGTGTAACACATATATACTATTGCAATATTTAGCTGTACTTATTTGCTTTATCTTTAAATGGTACTTTGTCCCAAAATTTTCTAAGAGTTTGATAAATTATCAAACATTTATCAAATCACTGTTGCACTCTCTATTCATCAGTACATTCTGTTTTAAATCATAAACAGTTTGATTCTGAGTTATAAGAAATACTTTGAGTAATCAAAGATTCTATGTTGTATGACATAAAGTATCATAATGAGATTATTGATGAGATGTCATAATCAGTGAAGACCATACTCAGTGAATTTACCCAGATAAAACTATGTGTTATAATGCTGCAAGCGTACACAGAGGTAGGAGATAAAGGTGTGCTACCATGGCTCAGTAAAAACTCCTTACCACAGCTAGTGACAAGAACAATGTTTTGTTAAAATGTGTAGGTTTTTCTTCATCTCAAAGAATAGTGCATTAATCTCCTAAAGAAAGTAATTTTTCTCTCTGAAATGTACAGTAAGTTGAGTTAAATAACTAGAGCAAGTATGGTTGTGGAATTTTATTTTCTCAAGCTCAGAAACTTCTAAATTTACTACAATATCCCCCAAATACGTCTAATTACTATACCACCCTTGCAATGATTACAATTTTGATGTTTGTCATTTTTTACATCCTAAAGCTCTTTGTGAATCCAGGTGATTATATAATGGATACCATCTTCTGTGGGAGTGAAAAGAAGAAAAACTTGATTCATACTCAAAGGTGCTATATTTGAGGAATGTGATGTTAAAATATTTTCTCTTAGCACAAGGCATTTGTTTTAAAGAATTTATCTGGAGGACTCAGGACATTTTCTATATAATAAACTGAATGATGAACATTATTTAAGATGATAAATGGGAATAAATTTTAGAAAGTCATATCTCTAGAAAAATTTACTTGACCATTGGATTAATAGTCTAAGAAGTGATGGTGATAGAATAATCATAGCGTCTTGGTGAAGCCCTTTCTCTGTGCTAGACACTTCACATACTTTCCCTCATTCAATCGTTAATA